GAGGCTGAAGAGACCGAAGAAGATGTCAGAGGAAGCGAGGAAGAAAATAAAGAGAGAGTGACCGAGCAAGAAACCGGACAAGAGTAAATATCAGACTGGCTTTTACTTGTTGTCGTGAGCTAAAACAGCCAAAAGGATGCAGGACACATGCGAGTTAGCTTTCTTACTGTTGGACTAGCAAGTAATAACTTATTGACTTGCTTGCTATGTCTTGTGTTGTAGCACTTGCTTGATGTTTGGCTGTTAGCAAAGTTGCTGACTCAAGCAAAAACTTAGCTAGAGGTTTCACAGACAGAGGTTGAGCCGCTAGCTGTAAATCACGAGTTGATGTTACCAGACTTGCCAGAGTACACACATTGGTAATGATACTATAAGTGCTCTTGTGTCTTGTCTAGCTTTGTTAGCTAGCTTGCCACCCATGTTTCAAGCAACATTGTGCTGCTGCAGGAAGACAGCGGTTTTGAGCCGGAGCAGGGAGAGCGGGCAACGTAAGGCGCACTTGCTTGATGTTTGGCTGTGCTAGCAAAGTTGGCGACTTGCTAGTTTTTGATCATAAGTAATCTAATCATAACAAATGCCTGTTTACAGCAGTGAACTGCACTCTGAAACAGTAGAGGCGCCAAAAAAAATCACATCTTACATATTGTTGCTTTAAGCTTTGGACATTATAAGTATATCCATTTAAACATAGCAAGACTTATAATATTATGACACGTCATTGCACCAACTATCAATAAGTTAACTCATATTAGCCAACTAACAATCGTCTAACGCTAGTACTCTAAACTCTAAATGAAGGTGTATAGACAGGGCTCCTGTATGGGTACCTTAGATCTGGGCATGAAGATTCACTATCAAGTTTTACTGCTTTATTTACACAGGAACAACATGTAAGGAAAGTCTGTTTACCTGAACACAAACACACCTTAATGTTACCAGAAACAGTCATTATGTGATGAGATTGCTGTTTTTTCATAAATATTTGGGCAGAAAAGATGTCGTTTTACTTGTCATTTGTAAACAAAATGTTGAACTACCAGAGCTGATAACCTTTTCAGTACAAAAATACTAAATGTTACTAAAATAACGTCAAAAACCAATAAAGCTGACAACTCATGAAGCATAAAGAGGTGAAAAATGATTAACAGTCAGATTATATACAGAGTACTAATGGGATGGTCAGAGGAGTGTGACAGGAAGGGACAGGACCGTCAGGGACAAAGGTCTCTTGCAGGCAGGGACGTGTCTTCTGTGTGGACATAGCTCCATACAAATAGTAAGTCAGTGGCATGTATAGTGCACAAACCAAAGTTTGTTGACATGAATTCAACACTCCTGTGGCACCAGATAAAGAGTACACAATGTCTTTTATCTATAGATGCTGCGATGTTAGCTGTAACAGTTTATTACACAATGTGGTTTGCCTTTGATTCATCCTCAATAATGACTGTAACAGGTTTTAAATTTAGCAAACTTGTATATTACTGATCCTAAATTACCCACAGTCTATCCACTCATTGGCTCTTCAATTTTAACATACTGATGCTGCTGTTACATCAGAGTAAAATATGACACGCAGTTTTTATTTGTTGTCAGGATTTTGGTATAAAATAGACTGTGTAAAAGTAGTGGATGTAGTCCATTGTTGCCCATTGATTTTTGGAGACAGACGTGACCATATTTTGACGAGAAGGTGGACTTGAGATGGGATATGCATTGCTACACCTGACGGATCCACTTATCAAGGTAGCCACACCGTAAAGCATACCCTTCTTTTTGTCTATTTTACTCTAAATGTGGCGATCGTTTACTAAATGAACATCATGCTGCGACTAAGACCATAAATTTGGCATAAATTTTTCAGACCAGGAGGTTCCCACTTGGTATAAAATCAGAACAAACCAACTTCTGTTTTTTTCTATATTGTTTTATACTTAACAATGACATGAAAAGACCAAAACCAACAATGAATTTATCCTTTATAGTATTTCCTGTAGATAAAACCTGATATATCTTATTTCTCAGCACTATAGAGTTCCATTATTGTCAAAATCATTAAAAACACATCAGTTAGCCACTGTGTTGTACATGTTCTATCAATAATATCTAGAGCACCAAATGTATAGTGATCTGCAGCTGAAACTACTCCCAACAAATGCATCTACTTCTGTTTGAGTAATGTTTGCTAAAAACTACGGTGCCCATCTGTTTAAGAAAATTAATTAGCCTTTGTAAAAATGAAACTATATATTTTTGACCAGCTGTTTTTTAAGATCTTCAATAGGAAAGCTGAGATGGGGGTATGTAAGTCCAAAAGCACTGGGAGACAGACTAACGCATTGTTGACGCTAAGAAAAATGTAGAATATCACCAGCCTTGTCCTTTAAGAATCTGTAAATGATTCCACTAATTGTTTCAGTCATAAACAGAATAGAAAAGAACAGCCTGCTGAGCAGAGTAGAACAGAAGATACGATTGTGGTGAACAGAGTTGAATAGAGTAAAAACAGAACAGCTCGGGGTCTGTTACATACTATTTCAGCTATCATGAGGATGGCCGCAATGCTTCGGATAAAGGACAGATCCATCATAGTGGTGACGTTAGCAGTCAGCCCTCGGAGGCTGTTGCCCCCCTGCTGAGAGCTCTGGGAGTTGGGGGGGCCGGTCTCTGTGGTAACCTTGGATGGGAAGTCTGCCATGAGCACGCAGCTTGTCTGAAGATGGACGTCTCAGAAACAGCCGCGACAGCAGGAACCTCCTTAAGGATGGGATTCAGTCTCAGAATAAACGTCTGTGATGAAGATTTTCCTCCTCCAGCAGTTTTCACTCCTCAAAGAGTACTTAAATGTTGGTATTCAGTAACCATTGATCTGCTGGTGGCAACAGCAAGACTAAATCTTCAATTTAAAGTTCAGTTCTGTCCAAAACACTAATAATAAATGAAACCCAAACCAAACATACAAAAAGAAAGAAAATAAAACAATCCAAAGAGTTAAAGAGGAGCCCTCCAGGGAAATCTCGAGGTTCAGATATCCGACAGTCACTCTCTCCACCTGCACTGACAGGTGCGTAATGGTGCTGTGTGAGTCTCTCTCTCTCTCTCGCTCCCTCCAACACACAGAGACACACACTGAGTATTTTGTCATCCTCTCTCTATCTGTCTCTCCCTCTTTTACAAGCTCTATATCCCCCACCTGGCTCCTCCCACTGGCCTCTCACCTGAGTAACCCATTGATGTGTTTGAGAAGTGGGAGGAGGGAAAAAAAACAAACAAAACAAACAAAAAGGATATAATCAGCGAGGCCCCGTTGGTGTGGATTGTTCTGTGTGGCATATCTATCCTTCACATGTATCTTGATAAGAATAAGGGGGTGATATAGTGCTGCACTGAGTTAAACAAATGACACATATGGCCTGATATGCAGTAAATGTTTAACTCAAAAACAAAATCCTACAAGCAACTGGTGGTTGTCTGTCTATGTGTGGCCCCGCCTTTCGCCCAATGTCAGCTGGGATAGGCTCCAGCCCCCCTGCGACCCTGTACACAGGATAAGCGGTTGACGATGGATGGATGGATTTTATCACAACAGATTACAAACCCAAAAGACAAAAAATGTCTGCAATGGTAGAGTCATAGCCACAATAGAGCCCAAGCTCCCCAGCTCTAATCTTTTTTTTTTTTTATTACTCTTTATTTTGCATTTTTCTTATTACAACACAACATACAAAAACAAAGAACAAGGGGCACCAGATATTGTATAATAACAAAATAAAGTATTACAATTAAAGTGTTAGAATTGCTCCGCTTCTTTATATGCAAGCCATTTTTCCCAATGCTTATTATATATGTGACCTTTGATACGTAGAAAGTATGTCATTTTCTCCATTGAGTGAATCTCCTCCACTATTTCTTTCCATTGCTCAATCCGAGGTGGGTCGATCTTTAGCCAAGACCGAGTGATAGCCTTTTTACATGCAATCGTTAGAATTTTAAAAAGATAAATGTCATCTTTTTGGACCACCTCACCAGGTAGTAGACCTAGCAAGAAAATCTTGGGATCTCTAGGGATGACATAACCCATTATACTCCCAGTAATTAGAAAGATACTGTCCCAGAATTGCTCTAACTTTGAGCACGTCCAAAATATATGAGAGTGATTGGCGTTCCAATGCCCACACTGCCGCCAGCATTGCTGTTGTTCACCCCTTAGTTTATTAATAATATGAGGTGTAATGAAAAATCTGACCAGATTCTTCCACCCAAATTCCCTCCATCTTTTCGAGCTAGTAGACGTTTGTTGTGTCACACACATCGAAAGCCAATCACCCTCTGACACTTCCATACACAGCTCCTTTTCCCATTTTGACTTAATATACAAGGTATTATTTCCATTTTGTTTCTGCAGAGCTTTATACAATTAGAGACAGTTTTACTTGGTTGGAGCTTATAAGCATTAATAAAAACTTGAACAATGTCATTGCCCTCAGGAGAAATACCCACCCTTATTTCACTGTTATAGAAATGTCTCACTTGGAAATATTTGAATAGGTCCCTGTTCTCTAGATTATATTGTCTCTTGAGTTGTTCGAATGTCTTAAAGGTATTACCATCTACAAACTGGCACAGGGCCATAAGGCCTTGATCTTTCCAACTCAAGAATGAAGAATCTATTTCACCAAGTCGAAAACTCGGGTTGCAGGAGGGCCAGATCAAGAGTTTAATATCATTAGCCAATTTGTATTTATTTACAACCTCTTTCCAAATTAAAAGCGTGTCTTCAACTATACGATTCCCATCTTTGTTTGTGATAATTTTACCTCCTAGACGGGTTTGAGGTTGGCTCTGACCCTGGGTTAGTTCGATCTGTCTCCATTGAGCTTCGATTTCTGGGGAACACCAGTAGACCATATATCTCATTTGAGATGCGTAGTAGTATTCCTTCAGATTTGGAAGGGCTAGCCCGCCATGATCTTTATCAATCTGAAGTGTTCTAAATTTTATCCTTGGTCTAGCCCCTGCCCAGATAATCGTGATATTAACCGGTCCCAAGCGTGAAAGTGTGAGTCAGAAATCCTGATAGGCAACGACATAAAAGATACAAAAATCTAGGAAGCAGGTTCATCTTCACTATTTCCAATCTAGAATTGAAGTCTAGTATCAGCATTGTCCAGCGGTTCATGTCTTTTTGTATTGAGTCACTAACTTTCTCGAAATTCAAACTGAACAAATCGTCTAGATCTTGGGAGATAAACACACCTAGATACTTTAACTTTTTAGCTTCCCAATTAAGTTTATAATTGTGCCGTATGGATTTACTGGGGGAGTAGTTAATGGTCAGGACTTGTGTTTTGGTAATGTTTAGGTTATAACCAGACAGCTGACCAAACTCTGTCAAAGTTCTCATAAATTTAGGGAGGCTTGCCTCTGGGTTTTGGAGGTAGGCGATAACATCATCTGCAAAAAGTCCAATTATATGTTCAGTACTTGCAATAGTAATGCCTTTAAGCTCTTCATTTTGCCTAATAGCCTGTGCCAAGGGTTCTATGAATAATGCGAAGAGCGTTGGACTGAGGCAACAGCCTTGTCGAGTACCTCTAAACAGTTGAAATCTATCAGTTAGGTGGCCATTAATTTTTACCCTGGCCATCGGCCTGTCATACAGTGACTGAATACATCTGATAAATTGATTGTTAAAGCCAAAACGCTCGAGTACCTTGTATAAAAAGGGCCAGCTGACCCGATCAAAGGCTTTCTCCGCGTCGAGGCTGACTAAAGCCAAACTCAGTTGTTGTTTCTTGGCTTGGTCCATGACATGCAATGTTCGTCTTATACTGTCGTGAGTTTGGCGGCCTTTAATGAATCCTGTTTGGTCCTCATGAATCAAATCTATAAGATAATTCTCCATTCTCTTAGAGATTATAGAGGTAAAGATTTTATAATCGACATTCAGTATTGAGATCGGACGATATGACTCACAATATTGTATATTTTTTCCTTCCTTAGGGAGGACAGATATTACTGCCTCTCTCCATGATGGCGGTATCTCTGCTCTACTCAGAGACCAATTAAAAGACTCCAGCAGAACAGAAGCGAGTTCCTCTTTGAAAATCTTGTACCACTCATTTGAAAACCCATCGCTACCTGGGCATTTGTTAGTTTTCAGATTTCCAATAGCTGCGTCCAATTCTTTTCGAGTAATAGGGGTAGTTAATGCGCCGTTTTGTATTAATCCTAGGGAAGGCAAGTCTAAACCTCTCAAATACTGTGTAATAACGCTTTCATTTACTGGTTTTGAGGGTGTGTATAATGTTTGATAATAATTTTCAAAGATTTTATGAACTTGATTGATATCATAAGTCAAACTATCAGTTAAAGGGTCTCTAATTTTGGTAATCGAGTACTTCAATTGTTGCTTTCGGAGGCGCCTTGCTAGAATTCTTGTGGCTTTTGAACCAGATTCGTAAAAGGTCTGTTTTGAAAATCGTAATTTTTTCTCTATCTCCTCGTGTATCATATCATTTATATTATTTTTAATAACTGTTATTTGTTTGGTCAATTCTTGATCATTAGTACTTTCTTGCTGTTTTAGTTCTAAACTCCTAAGTGTCTTTTCCAACTCATCATATTTTAATCGTTTTATCTTCTTCAAATAGGCAGTTTTTGAAATGAGTCTGCCTCTCATTACTGCTTTAACTGTATCCCAAACCAGAACCGGATTTACCTGACCATTGTTATTATCTTCTATGCATTCTACTATTTCCTTCTTAATGTCATTCCTTGTGGTTTCATTGTTGAGAATGCTTATATTTAAGCGCCATAAAGTTGTTTTTGGTTGGTTAGATAAATTAATAGATAGATAAACAATATTGTGATCAGATATATCAGAAGTTCCAATTTTGCATTCCTTCACTCTAAACCTGTCAATGGTGTTCATTAAAAAGAAGTCAATCCTGGAGTGAACTTTATGTGTGAGAGAATAATGGGTAAAATCTCTCTCTTTAATGTGAAAGTCCCTCCAGACATCGAACATACCCGTCTCTCTAATTAAACTATTAAGATCTTTTGACCTGCCAGTCTTTTGTTTTTTGGAGCTGGTTGTATCCATGGTATAATTTAGAATTGTATTCCAATCTCCAGCACAAACTAGAATCCCCTCACTTACTGAGATTATTGCATCAAAAAGCAGTTTAAAAAACTTCCTGTCACTTTCCGGTGGGACGTAAACATTAGCGAACGTAACAAAAACATTATCAATTCTCCCTTTTACGATAATAAACCTGCCTTCTTTATCAACCTTTTCAGAGATTAATTCAAAGTTTAAAGAGTTGGAAATGAGAGTAGCCACCCCTCTTTTCCTACTATTTTTACACCAGCTATGAAATGTATTAGAGTACCCAAATGTTTTAAACTTATCATGTTCTTGCTTAGACATATGAGTCTCCTGTAGAAAAGCTACTTGTGTCCCATCTCTTCTCAATTTAGCTAGCACCCTTTTTCTTTTCACTGGATTACTCAGTCCATTTACATTCAAAGAAGCAATTTTTAAATCAAACGACATTGATTATAGTAACGAAAACACTTACATGGTTTAGCGGCCCCTAAAAACATTGAACAAAACACACATTGAACAAAAACAAAAAAGAACCTTAATGAACTGACTTCCAAACGGAAAGAGGATCCTTCCTCCTCCCCTGTAACCCCGTTGGCAGGTTGAGGGTTAAGTCTCTCTGGATGAGAGGGCCCGAAAAAGACAGTAGATTGTCTGAAAACACGTCCATCTTATTAGTCCAACGTAGTCGATAAAGAGTGGCCTCTCCCACGTAGTAGATAATCAGGACCTGGCCTAAAAAAAAACAATAGCAAAAAAAACATTGCGTTGTAGCATGATGCCCTGCACCTTATTAATCCGACTGATCCCTCTGGAATTCTTGCAATTTAGCCTTCGCTCTGAGCGCCACAGCGGGTCCGCTGCTGCGCGCCGGCTGCCAGCCCAATAGCTCCCGAAGACGAGACTCCGCGCTGGGCCCTCCGTCGTCTGTAACCGGCTCCTCCACTTGAAATCCGCGTCTCTTCAGCTCCTTATAGACTTCCCGAGCGCTGGAGTATGTGCGCACGCCAGACTCCCAGTGGATCCTCATGTTAGTGAACGGCGTTTGGAAACGTATGCCTTTGTCCTTGAGTATTTTTTTAATTGCGTTGTATTCTTTG